CACAATGGTGGCTATGAAATCACGCTATACCCACAATCCTTAGTTAAAGAATCAACATGGTGCACTACTACTTATGCATAAGTAACACTGGCACCTGTCAGATCTTCTACATAATACCAAAATATAAACACAACACACATTTTACCTAAAATGCTTTACATGCACTAATCCATTTGTCAATGAACATACTGTAAAACACGTCTTTTAGCGAATTTAGCAAGAAAACTAATTCACTAATTCAAGATGTCACTAATGACTTTATTATTAATTCAAAATGGCCGCCAAACAAAGAAATCAACAATGACAAGAGAGATTCGCTAAATCAACATTTCGCTATTACGTCATTTCACTACAATTCGCTAAAATTGCATGTCGCTTTTTCAACATGTTTTACAGTACTGCATACTGTTCAACATGTGCTAAATGCTGACTGCAATTATGCAGATTATCTAATTAATATACATGATTTGTACAAAAAATAATAATAAAGAAGCTGTGTATTGAATTTTATTTCAATCAGTCAGCGTTTACTTGTGGAACAAGATTTTGACATACTGGCACACACAGAGACTAAAACTGCACATGTTTATATTATATTATTATTATTATAAATTAGGCAAAATTTACTTATCTCATGAAATGATTTTAACTGCGTTTCATTAGATGAATAAACCATGCTATTATAAACATTTTGATGAAGGTGGTACGCTGCTTGGTTCTTCTGCCCATGTGCCAACATTAAAACAATTCCGAAGAAGGTTACACTCATAAACCACTGTAAAGACACAGTGATCCATCTACTTCGCCTGGTAGTCCTATTGACCAAGGATATACTGCTCAACAGTTTTGCATCCATGCTAGTCTTGGGTATACATGTCACGCTTTTGTCGTTGGATGTCTTGCCTTCTCCAGCATTACTAGCAGTATACTGACTTTCAAACAACCGTGACTCTGATCTGAGGCTAGATCTTTTCGAGAATATCACATAGAAAATGATGATGAAAAAAAGAATCAGAGGCTCCACAACAAAAAGTATTTCTAATAACGTAATAAAGATCGATATAATCCAACTATAGGCCTGCATCTGGCCATATCGAGGGCCATACCAAGCACTCAAGAAAACGGCACCAATGATCACAGGGAGTGCGATACACCACGCAATGAGAGTCATCCACCAAGGCAAAACTGGACCTTGTAATATTAGAGATAACAATGCTGAAAATTTCATCCAAGATGTTGGCTGTGCGTCGCCATTTCCCCCAGCATAAAGGAGTTGTCTTTGTTCCAGATTTATTGCCTCTGTGACGACGATGCCTGCGATGGCGATGCTTATGATGATGCCTGTGTCTACTATGATGATGACCCTGTTTTGTATGGTCACTGTGGTGCTTAGTGCGACTTGGACTTCGTGAACGACTGTGACGACCGGAGCTGTGTTGACGTTTCTTCTTATGATGATGGTGATGCTTCTTTTCGACATTAAGATCATCATCATCACCATCTTTACTTTGATGATGGTGAGAATGATGACGGTGTCGACTGAGCTACGCGAATGATGAGAACTTCTCGAATGATGTATGTGACGAGACGAAGATCTATCGCCATCTTTAGAAATTTTATCTTTACTACGATGTCGATGGCGTGAAGGTGATCGAGAAGCACTGTGACTATGGTGACGATGACGTGAAGATGAATGTGAAGCACTATTACCATCGTGACGATGACGTGAAGATGAATGTGAAGCGCTGTTACTATGGTGAAGATGAATGTGAAACGCTGTTACTATGGTGACGATGACGTGAAGCGCTGTTACTATGGTGACGATGAGGTGAATATGAATGTGAAGCACTTTTACCATTGTGACGACTATGACGACTTTCTTCATGCAAGTCTTTTCGACTTTTCCGCTGATGAACATTTTGTTTTTCATCATCATGTTTTCTTCTTCTATGGTGACTTGGAGATCGGTGATGTGATGATGACCGGCTGTGATGTCTTTTTGACGGCACTTTATACAGTTTCATCTTCTCGTCACTTGAATGTGATGATGACCGGTGATTTTGTCTCTCAGACGGCACTTTAAGAAGTTTAATCTCATCACTTGAATGTGATGATGGCCGGCGATGATGTCTCTCAGACGACACTTTAAGAAGTTTTTTCTTTCTGTCACTTGAATGTGAAGTCTTGCTGTGACATCCTTCAATTTTTTGCTCACTGTAACGATCCCTTCTATGCATAGATTCTTCATCAGTACTGTTCATTGGACTACCAACATGTGGTCTCCTGTGCTTCGTGTGTTTCGGTAACACCTCTAACAAACGCCTTCAAGTTCAACTGTTGGAACATCACCTCCATTAAATGTCTCCATCTCATCTACTGAAGAACCAGTGGATTTTCTGTCAGACCTCTGGCGTTGGCCCTCATCTGTGAAGCGTCTCCGATTGAGGAACTTGCATCATCAACAGATATGAAGGGAATATCAACTGAAGACTTGTTCATTTTTCTTGAACTTTCTTGTCGATTTTCACTTCTACTAAAGAATGTTGTTTTGTTGGTTTTAAACCACCTTTTCTTTGAACTGTCCGTCTTTACGAGTTTCTGAAGATCAGCACCAGAAGCCAATTGACTGGCATGGCGATAATTCTTCCTAACACCCCTCTCATCAATGCTGTAAACACATCAAATTCTTCTGCACCTTCACCTTCAAATTCAGCTTGCTCATAAAGGAGTATGGTATTCACAAACATGGCAGTACACATGAATGCAAACAGGGATGTGAGACACTCAAAGTGAGTGACACTATTATTGATATGTCTGATGAATAGACTCAATGTTGTCAGGTGTTTCACACACATATCAGAATGTGATGTCACTGTCAACAAGTGTTTATTCATGATCATTTCTTCAAAATTCAAAACTTTATAGGAGCATGGTTTATGTTTTTCCGTCAGCCACTGATTACAGAGGAAATACCATGACTGCCCAGTGTGGTGGTTTTCAGCCAGTATTCTACTGCAGTACCTGTAATAAATTGAACGCAATGTATATTATAAGGTCTGCTGATTTTTGCAAAAACAAATATTTATGACATATTTTTGCAAAATTTCCCCCACTGTAAATTTTTTCAGTGAAATTAGAGAATTTGAAAAGCACCTGATTCAAAATCTATTTATGATTGCCTCGCCAACAATTTTTGTGCCCTGAATATCAATTGGCCTGATTATATAATTATATGCTACAGAAATGAAATAATTTATTACAATATGGCTGTGTGATATCATAATATGATTTGCCGTCTGATATTGCAATTCCATTGAATGTGGGATATTTCAATATGAATGGCTGTGTGATATTGCAAGATGATTGGCTGTGTGATATTGCAATTCGATTGGATGTGGGATATTTCAATATGAATGGCTGTGTGATAATGCAATATGAATGGCTGTGTGATATTGCAAGATGATTGGCTGTGTGATATTGCAATTCGATTGGATGTGGGATATTTCAATATGAATGGCTGTGTGATAATGCAATATGATTGGCTGTGTGATATTGCAATTAGATTGGATGTGGGATATTTCAATATGAATGGCTGTGTGATATTGCAAGATGATTGGCTGTGTGATAATGCAATATGATTGGCTGTGTGATATTGCAATTCGATTGGATGTGGGATATTTCAATATGAATGGCTGTGTGATATTGCAAGATGATTGGCTGTGTGATAATGCAATATGATTGGCTGTGTGATATTGCAATTCGATTGGATGTGAGATATTGCAAGATGATTGGCTGTGTGATAATGCAATATGATTGGCTGTATGATATTGCAATTCGATTGGATGTGGGATATTTCAATATGAATGGCTGTGTGATATTGCAATATGATTGACTGTGATATTGCAAGATGATTGGCTGTGTGATATTGCAATATGATTGACTGTGTGATATTGCAAGATGATTGGCTGTGTGATAATGCAATATGATTGGTCATGTGATATTGCAAGATGATTGGCTGTGTGATAATGTAACATGATTGGCTGTGTGATTTAGAAATTTAATTGGCTGAGGGATATTGTAATCAGATTGGCCGAGTGAATGTGCTTCCTTTTGGAATATTTTTATTAGGAAGTTGAACCACCCCAAAATAAATTGTGTTTATGGTCTCATACGAGCAATTAGCCTAGCAGAGTTTGCAGCCCATATGGTTGTTGTTAGTTTGCCAATGATTTTTTTTTCTCACCAAGTTGTATCTGAAATGTGATGTATGCGGGTGTACACTTCAAATGCATCAGCTTTTAGACTCGTGTGAAGATTTGTTTATTAACAAGTACAGGCGACCTGTGAATCTGGGCAAAGAAACTACGGTAGGTGCTTTTCTGAGAATACTGACGGTAGCAGATCTGACATGTGTTTAGTTTACATTTATTTTGTAAGAGTTTTGTAAGAGCTGGTGGAGATGTGTTTTTCTGGCCAGAATTCTATTACATACACATGGTTTCAACAATATGAAACAACATTTTGATCTTTGTAACCTGAGATATTCACCCATAAACACTACCGGTAATAATGTTTTTGTAAATATGAAATACTTTTGGAAAAATAGGAATTTACTGGAACCAAACTAGAATCCAGAGGTTTTGATGTAATAAATTTTAGGTATTTCCTTTAATACCTCTGTCAAGTTCAAGCCCTGAAAACTGATTTGATGCAATCTTGGTTGCCATAATTTTTTTATTTTGTCAAGAAATTCTTAATTCACTAGGAATAAGAATCAGTCAGAACATATCAGGGGTAAAGCCAAAAAATAAAATGTGCCTGTCTAAAATCTATACAAAAAATAGAATTTTTCAATCAAAAGTTGACAGGTTTGTAGAAATTTAGCCTACATAATCAAATTTGGTACCTGTCTATGGGGTAATATGTTGAGTTCCTGTCTAAAATTACAGGTAGACAGGTGGCTGGCTAAGTGCCTGGTGCATTTCGCGTTAATACCCAGGCAACCATTACACGATATGGTATGTAAATCAGTTGCTTGACCACGATTGTTGCTTAAAATATTCAAGATGATAAGAATTACCGAGGTGTATTAGCACAACTTTAGACTACATTTTCAATTGAAGCTCTGTTTCAACATATAACAGGTAAAACAGGATAACTCATCAGTGCAATATCTGTAATGCGACTACTAGTAAATACAATCTTTTTTTACCTGGATCGAGTGTTTCAAAGCCCTTAACAGATTCATCTGTACTATAAACACTGGCGTAACCATAGCCGCCACAATGGTATGTAGGAAATCCAACACATTTAATGTTACACTTGTCATCATCTGCAATGTCCATGCCAATTTCATTACCACACAAACAGTGGAAACCCTGCTGCAATGCTGCATGACTGTAATCTCTTCTCTTGCATAGACTAATACATAGCATGGGATTGATCTCATTGAAATTATAAATTCCGCTCGACACTTGAGTTTCTCGCTCTTCTGGTTTAACTATGTAACATCCCAGATAAGAATCCTCTGTTTATTAAATGGATATAGAAATTTTTAAAAACATAAAATTAAAGGATTGAAAGCATTATCACAAATAACGTAAATAGGCATTGGAGTGCTTTCAGAAAACCTGTTTACAAAATTTACGGATTATAAATACACAACTAAATTTGAAAACTGTCGTTGATCAATCAGAACGCTCACCGTGAAGTCACCACGGAGGGACAACCCAGTATAGATTTATCAACCAAAATTTGATTGGCTTTGCGGCACATC